TCTCAACTAATTGCTGCCTAATAAAAATATTACTTTCATTTCTTCAGGAAACAAGAACAGTTGGACCTTTAATTCCATTTATGCTAACATTTTGTGTCCTATTTCATGGGATCAAGTCACAGGTGCATCTCAAACTTTAGAAGATGTCACATCTAGTGTTATGTGCATTTAATATTAACTTACATTTATTCATATCGTTCTGTTTCCCAATGTTCATGTTTCTGTCTAGCATTACAATTCTGTCTGAACTATTTCTTTTAAATCAAATATCTGATATAGAAATGTCTATTTTTTCAAACAACATTTATTTGCATGTTTTTTCTTTCCTATATTCTTTTCCTCTCTTTCAAGGAACACTCCCACCCCATTTAATATAGTATATATAACTATATAATATATATTTAATTCATTTATATTAAATATAAATATGTGTGTATTTGTGTGTGCATGTGAGCAGATATTATGTTTATAAGAGCTTGGCTAGAGTACCTGGGGTAAGAACTGAGCAGGTTAGCATCTCATGGCAGGGGGGGGCTCTCTCTCTCTCTCTCTCCCTCTCTACTTTTCTTTTTCTTTCTTTCTCTTTTAGGTTTTGCTATAGGGTATGTGTGACAGACAGAAAGGAAGAGAGAGAGGGGGAAAGTGAGAGATCACCACTTTCCACAGGGGCTAGCCATATGGCAAACTCTTTTTCTCCATTTTTTCCTTGGGATTTAGGGCATGCGTGCACACATGCCCAACATGATTTTCAAGCCACCGGGTCTGGAACTTGAACCTCATAGTCAAGCATGTGAGATCCAGCACTTAATCTCCACTTTAACTTCCATGAATGAAAATTCATCAAGTTCAGGTCTGGATTGGGGGTGCGAGTGGCGTTTTCTCAGGAAGATAAAGAGTTATATAATATATGTTTAATTACAGATTGAGATAATTATTTTGAAAAGGAAAAATTGAATATTCTCTTTATTCTTTCTAATATTGCCATGCATCCTTTGGATCTGGGTGTGCTGTGTGATCAAACTTAATACCTATGCTGGTTCTTGTTTGACGCGCATTAAGAATTAGAGATGCAGACACAGGGAATGGATAGCAAAGCGGGGCTTATTAAGAGAGAGAAGAATGGGACCAGAAGTTGGCATAATGCCTGTGTTACTGGACTCCCATGTAGTTGACTGTAATTGGAGTACCAGCCCCAGTGGCTTAAAATTCACACTGGGCACATGTGTAGGCATGCGCAAGATACCAAGAGGAGAATGGAGGAGAAGAGATTTCAGGGTGACCATCTCCCCTGGAGGGGGGTAATTTCTCGCTTTTTGTCTTTCTGTCCCTCTGTCTTTCTGTAGAGCACACACGTCTCCTACAGCAAAAACCTCTCTCTGAAAAAAAAAAAAAAAAAAAAAAGTATTTATTTTAATTTGCCAGAGGGAGTTTGCTTTCATCAGAGAAAGACCAGGGGGTTTGGGGGACTGCAGGAAGCTCCCTGTAAGGGGGAAGGTCATCCCTTCTCTACCTCTCCCTCGTTTGGGATCCCTGGCATGCATGTACATGTGCTTAGTGTGTCTTTCAAGCTGCTAGGTCCAGGACTTGAATTGTGCAGTCAGTCACACAGGATCCAGTTATCCCAAAAACCACAATACCAGCTGGCCTGAAGGACAACATTTAGGCAAAACAATGTCTGCCCCTAAAGGGCAGCAGTTAAGAGTAACGCATAGGGACCAGCAGTCAGCGTAATGGCTATGTCACTGGACTCCCATGTAGTTGACTACGATTTGAGTCCCGGACCTGGTGACTTAAAACTCATGCCCGGCGTGTGCGTGCATGCCTAAGATCCCAAGATGAGAATGGAGGAGAAGGGATTGTGGCATGACCATCTCCCCTAGGGAGTGATTTCTCACTTTCTGTCTCTCTCTGTCTTTCTGGCAAGTGCACATGCCCTGTAGCAAAAACCTCTCCAAAAAAACAAGAAAAAAAAAAAAAAAAAAGAGTAATGCATAGGGAGCCTGAGCCCATATGGCCAATCATAGTTCAAATCCCAGGCCCTATGGCCTGAAAAATTTGCCAGGTGCATGTGCTTGCATGCCCCAAATCCTGATAGGTTGAAAAACGGAGGAAAAAGAATTGTGATATGACCATGCCTCATTGGAGGATTCTTTCCTTCTCTCTCTCTCTCTCTCTCTCTCTCTGAGGAACACATGCACCCTCTGGTAGTACATTAAAAAAAAAAAAAAATCAAACAAAGCAAATTAAGTTAAGTTAAAAATGATAAGAATCGGTGAAAAAGTAATCTCTGATTTATTCATCATTTCAACAAAAATACAAGTGTTCTTACTATTTTTCCACCCATGGGACAGGTTTGGCTTTCTTGTTCTCTCCACTGCCTCCTGCAGTGGCAGCCACTCCTCGATCCTTGGTTGATGGTGGTTTAGTACTGATAGATGAGCCTTTCAGAAAAGCCTGCATGGTTGCTTCACCCTGATCAGATGCAAGATAGAAAAGGAAAAGCTTTTTTTGAAAACTACTATGGGGCAATTTGGCTTGAAAGCACAATTAACCACGGGCAAAGGCATTTAACAATGACTTAATAAAGGACATCATCCTATAACGTAGGTCACCCTGAGTATGTTGAACTGAAGGCTACAGACACAAGAAAAGTTAATGTCATTAAGAAATTTTATAGTAAAGGACTTACAAAACAAAGATAAACTATATGTCAAAAAAAATTGAGTTCCAAACAGGTAAATACAATGGCTCATCAAAAAGTTCATAAAAATGTCTACTATGAAAAAACTATGCAGAGATGTCAAAAAAATATTTTTGCACCAAAATAAACTTGGTACATTTTCCCACAAACAAAAAGTCCTGCTTTATGATGTTACTAATGAAAAACTGTACATGAACCTCTATAGTCTCTTCCATTTCAATCACGGGCCTAACTCTAGCTTAGACCTGAAATGGACTCCATAATTAGGAGTGCTGGGACCACAAATGAGAACTTTTATCCCTTATTTTGGGCCTAAAGCTCCATTCACTTAGGGGCCTTTATTTATTTATTTTTTAATAGATAGAGTCAAGTCTGCTTTCAGAGTCTTTTTTGGTGGTGGAGGGAGGGTGGAGTTTCTGTTGTTAAAATGGAAACAGCAGACCAGCAGTAAGCGCAATGGCTATGTCGCTGGACTCCCATGTAGTTAACTGCGGTTTGAGTCCTGGACCTGGTGGCTTAAGCTCACGCAGGGTGCATGTGCATGCATGCCCAAGATCCCAAAAGGAGAATGGAGGAGAAGGGATCGCGGTGTGGCCATCTCCCCTAGGGGGTGATTTCTTGCTTTTTGTCTTTCTGGTGAGCTCACACGCCCTATAGCAAAAAACCTCTAAAAATTCACAAAACAAAACAAAA